GCTGCCCAGGCAGGTCTCAAACCCGCGGGCTCAGGCAATCCACTCACCTCAGCCTCCCAAGGGCGCGGGATTACAGGCTGAGCCACCGAGCCTGGCTAATTTTTTTATTTTTTGTAGGGACAGGATCTCCATATGCTGGGTCTATTTTTTTTCTTTTGTTAGAAGCAGAATTTATTGAGAGGACAGAAAATCTCCCAAAGTGGGAGGGGACCCAAGGGGGTTGCCCAGCTGGGTCTTTTAAAACCATACATTGCCCAGCACTTTGGGAGGCCAAGATGAGAGGATTGCCTGAACCCACGGGTTTGAGAACAGCCTGGGCAACTTGGCGAGACCTCATCTCTACAATAAATAATTTTTAAAAATTAGCTGGACGTGGTGATGCATGCCTGTAGTTTCAGCTACTTGGAAGACTGAGGCAGAAGGCTTGCCTGAGCCCAGCAGGTCGAGGCTGCGGTGGCCATAAGCGCGCCACTGTACTCCAGCCTGGGCGACAGAGTGAGACTCCAACTCAAAAACAAACAAAAAGATACAGCCTCCAATGGCCTCCTGCTGGACTTAGGAAAATCTCCAAACTCCTGGCTGTGACAGGTCTCTCAGGAGTTTCTCATGTTCTGGCACCCGCCACCCTCCAAATACTCCAGATTTCATTCCCTTCCTCCAACACGCCACCCTTTTTCCTGCCTCAGGGCCTTTGGACGAGCTCTCCCCCTGCCTGGAGATCTCCGCCCATAGATTCTCACATACCCCTCCTTTCCCCAGGTCTCTGCTCAAGTGTTGGGCACCAGAGAAGCCTCCCTGGCCAGGCCATCCTATCTGACATAGCCCCCAGCCCATCGCCCCCCACCCATCCACGTCCCCAGCCCCATCTGGGATCTTTTAAGTGACTTGGTGAGAACGGGACCCTCTGTGGTGCTCACCCATCATGCTGTCACCAGAGCCCAGAGCAGTGCCTGTCCCTCGGCATAGATACATGGTGTGAATAAACCTTGTAACACAAATGGTTCACAACTGAGAATATTGACTCTTCTCATTGAAGAGTGAATATTAGATTTTTTTTCCATCGAGTGCTGGATGTTAACACATTATTCTTTCCTCTGTCAACCTATCTCTGAAGCGCTGTCCAGTGTGTGTATGAGCACACATGTGTGCATGATATGTGAATATAAATACATGGCACACAAGGGGCATCCAGGGGAGGCGGGGCAGACCCTAAATGACTGTTAATGTCTCGACATTGGCCTTAACCACTCCCTCCTGTGCTTTTCGATGACCCATATGTGTCCCAGACATTCAAAAGAAAAAAATTACAAAAAACGCTTTAAAAAGCCAATACGGCTGGGCGAGGTGGCTCAAGCCTGTCATCCCAGCACTTCGGAAGGCGGAGGCGAGGGGATTGCCCAAATCCACGGGTTCGAGAACAGCCCGGGCAACCGGGCGCGACCTCATCTCTACAATGAACCGGAAAAATGACCCGGGCATGGTGGCACACGCCTGCGGCTCCGCCTTCTGGGAAGACTGAGGCCGAAGGATCGCCTGAGCCCAGCGGGTGGAGGCTGGGGGGGCCGTGAGCGTGCACTGCCCTCCAGCCTGGGCGACGAAGTGAGACTCCAACGCAAAAGCAAAAACAAACAAAAAGTCGGTGCCTCCCATGGACGATCTGCTTCCCAGCAAAGCCTCAAGGACCAGCTACCGAGGCGGCCTGAGACCCCAGCCCGTGCCCACCGGTTCCCGTCCCTGCCGATCTCTGCACGGCCCCCCTCTGCCCGTCCGAGAGGCCTCGGGGGAGGCGGCTGCGCTTGCTCGTGAGCCAGCTCAGCAAGTCTGGGTCCTCTGCGTTCTATTTTGTACACGCCGTGATGATCTGGGAAGAAAGCGGGGTTGCATGTGCGGGCCTTTCCCAAGGCGGGCTCCGGGAGGGCGCGGAGAAGCCCGAATCGGCAGCCCCACAGCGCCCCCTGCTGGCCGCCGGCCGCCGCGACTCCCTTCTCTGCCGCCAGCGGGCGGTGACGTCTCGGCTCCTTGGGGACCGAAGACGCGCGCGAGTTCGGAGGAGAATCGGGCACGCGGATCCCTGTCCCTGACAAGATCGGTGCCCTAGACAGGGCGAGATCGGCCCGGGGCAGGAGCGTGGGACGCCGGCCAGGCTCGGTGGCTCAGCCTGTAACCCCAGCACTTTGGGAGGCCGAGGCGAGAGGATTGCCTGAGCCCATGGGTTTGAGCCCAGCCCGGGCAACTTGGCGTAGACCTGGTCTCTACAATGAGAGTGGGATCCCAGACCCCAACTGCCAGCCGCCATCAAGGTCGCCAAGTTCACCACCGTGCTGAGGGGCGGTGGTGTCTGGCTTCAGGAAAATACGACACCTCTCCTTTCCGGAAAATAATGTGCCTGCTCAACTATTTTGAATAATGGTGGCCATTTGTAACGCAAAAGAGCTCTTGGTTGCACCAAAAACTCCCTTAAATAGGGAGCCTCATTGGTCTATTCAAGTGTCAATTTGCATGCCGTGGAGAATACAGAAAGTTCGTGTTGAATGTCAGGCATCTCTATCCGTGGAAAACTGATTGGTAATGAAGAAAAAGCAGATCTGAAAAGTAATCGTAGCTCTAAGGCTTTGATTGGCCAAGTAATCGGTCACAGTGTTTGCAGGGATTGTGTGAAATGCTGTCTGTACTAAAACTGTTCAAAGGACCCCAATAGTGTCGTTGCTTTACTAGACTCTGGTGTGGCCGTGTGCTCTTTGAGCTGTGGCCGCTGCCATGTTTCCTAAGCTCTACCCCCGACTCCTACCTTGGAGAAGTGAATCCACCCCCCCCTTTCATTCTCCTTCTAATTTACTTTCTAAATAAACCGTATTTTCCAATCTAAAAAAAAAATGATCCAAATAATCATGTTCTGGGAGTTCATTCTTGAAGCCCTTTGATGGGCACAGGCCTTTTGAACTTGAAACACAAAACTCAGTGCGAAAGGGCATAACCTGGCAGGCATGAATGAGTCTCTCTCTGGGTTTTCTTTTTAGATCTCTCGATTTTGTAATATTGGTGAATTTATGCATAGGAGGAACCTGAGCTTAAAGCCAAGTCTGTTTTCCTTTGCCGTGACCATCAGAGGACCCCGGATAGCCAAAGGGAGTGAAGCTTGGAATTCCTAGGAGAGAGAGAACTTCCCACACTGGGGACACTACTGCCTGTGGTTTGGATGGAGTGCTGGGTCCTGACTGAACCCATGTCAGTACTGGGGCCAGGGAGCTAAAATGCCAAAAAAGGGAGTGAGTAGCCATGCCCAGTACTGTTACGAGAACCCAGATGAGCTCTGAGAACCAGCCGTTCATGGGTGACCTTGACCAACGCTTTGATATAGAAGGAAGGGGCCACAAGCTTGGCTGGTAGGGGCCCCAGTGAGAATGCATGGAGGCAACTTGCAGGCCACAGGGAGAGACCAAAGGACAAAGGTGGCGACGGTGGGTGGCCCTCGTCCCAGCGCTCCCTATGTTCCCCACAGCCGGTCGACTATCTTTGTGCGTCTCCACACCAACGGGAATCAGGAGTTGCTGTACCAGCCTGGGGATCACCTGGGCGTCTTCCCTGGCAACCACGAGGACCTTGTGAATGCCCTGATTGAGCGACTGGAGGACGCGCCCCCTGCCAACCAGATGGTGAAGGTGGAGCTGCTGGAGGAGAGAAACACAGCCTTAGGTAACACCCAAGCCTTCCCCCTCTCGTCCCGGGGAGGCCTGGGGCAGTGGGCATCTGGGAGAAGAGACCCTCCCTCTTCCCCATCACCAGTCCAGGTAGGAGAGTGGGTCTCCATCGCCTCCCACTCAGAAGGCTGAAGGCGCTCCCTTTCTCGTGGCTGACTGGCCTTGGCCCAGTGGGCAGAGCCCGCGTCCATGATGGCAGGACATCGGTGACTCACCACTGGGAGAAGGGCCTTCGACCTTCCCTCACCGGCGAGACACTGTTGTTTGGCAGTGGCCACTCTTCTTGGCTTCGTGATCCCCTCCAGCCCCAAGAAAAGCCCCCAGCCCCCCCCC